TCTTCTCTTCTCTTCTCTTCTCTTCTCTTCTCTTCTCTTCTCTTCTCTTCTCTTCTCTTCTCTTTTTATCCTTTTATTTTATTATGATGAAATCGGAGAGCTGACAAGCAGTATAAGGCTTGCATTAATTTTTTTCATTAGTGTGAAATACACTCCAAACATATTATTGAAAACTTTAACAATGCACTGGAAAACTGGGAAAAGTCAGGGAAATGTATTCCGGGAATTGAATGGCCACCCTGAAACAACAGGGAAAACTTTGTTTGCAGTGATATTAAGTATATTCTTTTTCTATACAGATGGCGGAAGCGGAAGTTACGGTCAAATGAAACGTGGGATATGCTACCCATGTTAGTTTTGCAAAATGGTCTGAGTGGTTTAGACCAGCATCTCACCTGTTGCTTATTTTCAGTATTTGCTAGATTATTATGGAGAGCAAATGAAACAAAAATGGCAGCACAAGTATTTGAGATGACAGTTTCTCACTCTCGCTTTCTTGACGTTGTTCTAATTCAAGAGCATTCAGATGTCAAATGTAAGTGGTCAAGAATATTTCTTGTATATTACGTCACCAAACTATTCTTTACCAATTGAAATGTATGTATAATTATTGTTCATTTATTTACAATACATAATCACATTGTCATAAACGCATGTTTAAAAAAATTATTTTACTACATCAAGGATGATTTCTTCTTTAATAGATAGAAAAGTGTGTATATAGTATGGCTGAAGACCGTTTGAAGGCTAATTCACAAATTGGCTAGCTCAGCACACAAGCCAGCAGTAAAGATTAAAGCCATATGAATGACAATGGCCAGTTCATTTCAGGCATAATCTGGCCAATATTGGTATTAGTTACACTACGCTGGCTATTTGTCTGTGTGTTAGAGGTCTTGTGTGTTTGTGAGAAATATTTTGGCATGAAAATACATTAGAAATTGATCACTTCACTTACTCAAAGTAGTTTGATGTAAATTGAAGAGGCCAGAGCCTTGTTGCTCCATCTTGGAAATGTGTAGCAAAGCATAATTTGTGAGGATAGCTGTAACATGGAAATAGAAAATTACAACTGACACAGCGAAACTCAAAACTACACACATTGTCTCTCTTTATCTTAGAAACTTCCCATCAGCAATCTGATTTATGCTTATCCCTTAATATCTGCTATTCCTCGTCACCTGGATGCACCCTAGACATTAGTATTGGCAAATGTGCATTTCAACTAGCTTAAGTCTCGGGTTTAAGTCTATGCTTTGAAACTGTTCCTACATCAGACTTTATCCACTCATTTTTGATAATTCACCCATTAAGTGATGAGGTTCCACTTTTGTGTCTAGTAATTGCCAGACATGCCCACTGTGTGGTCTATCTTTCTGAAGCACCCCCCCCACCACCACCACCACCACCACCTCCCTCCCACGCTTCAGCATGATGGAGTCGTACAGTGCATATATTCAGTGCCATGCCACACCACTGTGCGCATTCACTGGCTAATTTGCAAAGTAGCCAGAATGGAAAATTATCCTTAGTGTATGTATGTCCATGAATTTATACTGTACCTTATATACCCCCCCCCCTCATTTCTGTGATCCCCTTTTTGTTTTTGCACACTTCCAAGAAACTTAAAATGTGCCAAATGAAAGGAAATCTCAGAGAAAACGCACAGTATATGACACTGAATGTAACCTCACACATGTAATGCACAGAAAATGGCGTGCTTATGAAGGTGCCTAAAGTTCAATTTTCATTAAAACCTCTGAAATTCAAAAATTGCAAAATATGATTATCTAATTAATCTGATGTAGTACTGCAACATTCTGTTAATTGTAGTGGCTGTACTTCAATTGATATTGACCTGCTATGAACTTGCTCCACAAGTGAGAAAAGCTTCTCAAGTTCCAATCTGGCTTGGATCCTATGGTGCAACCCTTTCTCATAGTGATCAGGTTACTTTGAAGGTATGTTTAATCTTTACATTTTAATTTATCATTTAAGTAGTGTTAAGGAAGATGTTGCCATATTTTTGTAGTGTGAGCTCTTTTTACTTTCTCACTTATGAATTCTTCGTAAGAACAAATCAGGCTGCAGAAAACAACAAATTTTTGCCAGAAAAATGCTAATAGTCAGGCTCTGGTAATGAAAAGGTGGATAAATCCTGTTGCTACATTTAGGGGGAGGAAATTCTCTAACACGTGGTGTATCCAGAATCCATGTTTTGTCAGTTCTTGATACCGAAAATTCGATTGGCGGCAATAAGTTCAGTTCAGCTGATCTCTAAAATTGATATTCCTCATTCGATCTAGCTGGTGTCATGGCTCCTGTATTTTGAAAAAGATATTTTCATTTTAGGAGGTACGTTACATAAAGCCTCTCAGACATTTTAAAAATTTTTAAAAAGAAATGGTTCAATTTTTTTATTAAATTTTGTTGTTTAATAATGCAAAATAGAAATATTTTAAAACTATCTAATTGATGATAAAGGTTTTTAGATCAAACAAAGTCTGTTGTACAAAATAAGGTCATTTAAAAAGATTATATACATTTTTTGAAAAAGTTTGTAGGTTTTGCTTAATTTGTGCTTGAAATTTATGAAGAAAAAACTTCTCAAAAACTGCTCCAAATTTTTCTTTAAATATGTTATAAGGATATGGTAAGAAATATGGTACTGGGCCCATTTTCAGGTATTGCTGTTTGTTCGTTTTCGAAAATTGCAAAAGAATTTCAAAACTACAAGATAGAAGATGTTTTTGCTTCAGAAAAATTTTGTTGTAGTAAATTAGCTATTTAAATTAATAAATTAGTGATGCTATAGTATGGCACATTCTTTCTCTCCCTAGTTAGTTTTCTAATCTCTCTATTCTTGACTAACTTTTGCGATAAGCCTCATTCTCTTCATGGCTACTTTCATTTTGTCGCCAAAAAACAAATTTTTTCCTATTTTCTCAATTACTCTGCTCCGTAATGCTAGAACAGAAACGACCATGCACTTATTACTATTATAAAAGTATTCATTTCATTTCCTAATGGGCATGAGGGGTTGAGGTGGCAAACCACCAAATTAAAACTAGAAACGATCTAATCCCAATGCAGAAATCTGAATTGAAAGGTCTAGTACAGAACTAAAAAGCAGACAAGGATCAAACCCAAAACTTCTCATTAAATACATTAGGGTGGTTCCGCAGATTGTGGACTGGAAGGGAAACAAGAAAAGGCAGTAACAATAAGTTCTATTACACAAATACAAAAATTACGTACATGGAAATCGCCACCCTTCTTCCAAAGTTTGACCAATTTCTGATAGACATCAACACTGTGCAACCAGATGTAATAGTAATTACTGAATAATGGCTCAACTGTAATATTTCTGACTTTTTAATACATGTACCTGGCTTTCCGATATATCACAGAATCAGGCCAGACAGGTAAGAAGGGGGAGTAATAATGCATTGAAACAAAATATGGAAAGCACGACTGTGAAAGTGATGTATGAAATACAACACCCTGATGTGGAAGCACTCTGGTTGAAACTAGAATATGGGAACATACTGTATGCTGTAGGGGGAATATATAGACCACCAACATCCTACACGAGACCTCGGCAATCAGATCTTAAACTATTTGAGAAAATAGCTATGATATGCGACCAGAAGATGCTGGTTACTATTTTTTAATATTTCAATTTTCCCATAATTACATGGACCAAACAGACCTCTTGTGATTCTTGGTTTAGTGTTAACTAATGATGACCACTTCATTACATCTTTGATTATAAGGCCAAATATTGGTCAAAGTGATCACTTGGTGATTATGACATAGCTACAAGTAGAATCGCCCATGAATATTAGTGTTTCTTATAAATCTATAATTTCTTTCAAGCAGACTTCGTAACAATAAGTCACCTTACTGAACACGACATAGAGATATTCACGAGACGCTGAAAACAACTATGTTGAAACTAACTATACGAATTTTTGTGAAACATATAAGGGTTTTTTAAATACTCATTCCCACATATCAAGAATAGAATAAATTTAAATAAACCTTGGATTAATCATGAGATCATAAAACAAAGCAGACTCAAACGTCGAGCATGGGCAAATTATAGAAGAACCAGAACAGATGAAAGTTACACCATCTATAGGAACTTCTCAAACAATCTCACCTCTAATGTGAGACAGTGTAAACAAAAACACGAAGAGCAAATTGTGCTGGATGGTGGCAAAAGATTCTTCTCCTATATACGAAGGCAAACTATCTGTAAAACTGGTCCTCCAATGATTGTTCTGAATAGAGATTGTGATATATCTGATCCAAGTGAAATCATGGAATGCTTTACGGGACAGCATATACTCTTAAACCTTTGCACACGTAAGCTTTAGCGGCACGATTCCATAAATTCTTGGCTATCCGGGAGACGCCACGTCATTGGCTGAGAGGCCGTGAGAGTGACTGCCCTGAGGAAGCCTGCGACAAGTCAGGCGAAACGTCGGCCTCTCAGCCAACAACGCGACGCCTCCCCGATAGCCAAGAAGGCCCATTGCCAATTATTGAAGAGAAGTGTACCAGATTTATTGAAAATATTGAATTTTCAAATATCGAACCTGCCCAGATAATGTGCAGACGGAATGCAAGCTCATCCCCTGGTCCTGATGGTATTCCCACTGTATATTTGAAAAATTAAACTACAACTAGCCCCTTTACTGAACAGAATATTTAGACAATCATTAGAATCAGGCAGGTTGCCCTCTGCTTGGAAAAAAAGCTGTCATCACACCAGTTTTCAAGAAAGAGGACAAAGTTACCAAAAAAGTACAGACCAATAAGTTTGATAAGCGCAGTGAGTAAAGTCATGGGAAAGGATAATGTTCAACCACTTTTAGATCATACATTTGAAAATAATGATATCCCTTAACAACACCACAACAGCACTTAGATTGTAGGTTCAGATTCCACCTGGGGCATGGATGTTTGTGTGCGTCTCTACACCGTTACCATTACCTTCAGTCTTACTTACAGTGGTCACTATATGGTTGAAAATAACCTTCAGGAAGTTCAAAAAAATGTTTATATAATTTTTTAAAAGCAGCAGCTCTTTTTAAGAAACTCCAAAAAGATTTGCCATGAACAATCCAAAGAAATTTTAGAAAATTGTAATACCAATATTAAAGCATGTTAAAAATTGCAAGGTCATTAGAAACAAATTCAGTATCAATGATTCTGATAATAACAAAACAATTGTATTACATATCACATTTTAAAGGTGTTACTAACATAAAAATTTGTATGTTTTAGAATTTTTTATCTCCAAAAAATCTTTTCTCAACTTATCACTCAAAGTATTGAATACGTTGTTCTTCGTGTTTTTAGTGAAGTGAACTAAGTAACTTATGAGAAATAGAACATCTTTTTTTAAACATCTTGTTATATCTAAGTATCTTCCTGCACTATTTCAGATTTTGTGGTGTTTGAACAACTGCCAAGATGTGAACCTCAATGCATACAGGCCATTCCTCTGGGGAGAAGCAGCAATCAACCACTACAGTGTTCGCTCACGTGCAGGAATGTCATTGTGGCGCGTACCTCAGGCCACAGTAGCTCTTGAGCTGTTACAGCTTAAGATGGTTGAGAATACTATCTCCAAATTTCCACTTGATCGTAAACTATTATTGGTAAGTTTAAGTGATTACATGACTTAAAAAAATAAAACAAATTGTAACGTGTATATGCTTTGGTTCTCCCAATGTGTGTTCACATTGCAAAAGTGTTAAAAGTAATCATATTTACACGACTTCATTCCAGTCACCTTTTGCAAAATCCCCAAATGCCATTGGCTTGTAGGGTGTAGAGAACTTTCTTTGGTCATCTTGAACAATCTTCAGGTAAAAAACCAAGGAAAAAAGCTTGAAAACATAAAAAGTAATGCTCTAACCCCAAAAGCAAATAAGAACCATTATACCAACTTCATTGTAGAGGAAAAAGAACCATACTGACATGGGGAGAATCATTGCACAAAAGTATGTTTAGATTTATTATTACTTAGAACCTGTGCTGATTTCAGAAACAGCAAGAAAATTTATTTGAGAGTGACACATTTATCAGTGGCTTCATAGAGGATCTGGAACCTAATCAACCAGATGTATATGATCCTGCATTTGCGATTCCTCTTCTAAGTCATGTACTGGCTCCAGAGTCTGTAGTTCAGGAGCATAAATTCAGTCGCTTTGGTGGACTAGCCCTGACACTATCTGCTTTAGCAAGCAGATGTGGGTACATGCGCACTGCTGCTCTATCTGTTCTTTCTCGCTTCCATGCTCGGTTGAATCCTAAAAGGTAAGTAAATAATTGCTACTTCCTCATACACAACTATGTGATTTTAAAATTCCTTTTAACCCTTTCAGTACAAAATGCAGTTAGAGGTCACAATGCATTCAGTGTATTCCATTGAAACGTAAACAAGTTCTTTGAAACAGTAGGAGATAAAACACAATAAAAGTTAAATTTTCTCTTAGAGCTACCCATATGCTAAATAGGTAGGTGACTCAGGTATTCTGTAAAACAATGTTCATTAGTCTAAATGTTGTATTTCACTATTGTCAAGTAGTCACTTATGTCACTGTTTTGTACTGTCAGAGAAAAAATATTTTTCAAATGTAAATCCATGATGAACATATACCCTTTTATTTTGTTTCCAAAAGGAACAAAAAATGTTCAAATTAAAGAGATACATTCTTGTATAAAGTATGTATGTAATACAACAATATGTGCTTTTTTTTCTCTCTAAAAACCATTTAAGGGGTGCAAAAATAATAATACATAACTTTGAAAATACCATGAAGATTGCAAATGTTCAGGGGAATCTGTACCTCTGTATCCCCTCTGGTAAAGAGCCCTGAGTTCAATCATGAGTGTCTTGAACCCAAAGGACATTAACAATTCTTTATAATTATTGTCAAGATGAGAAATGAATCAATGATAAGAAATGAATGAAAACCTAGATAACCCTCTTATCTCAAATATGGAAGAGAGATTATATAAGCTGCTTTACCTTTAGTCATCTTATGTTGTTTCTTCTTTGCTTTCGCCTTCTTCTTCATCTTCACTTTCTTCGCCTTCTTTGCCTTCTCCTTTTCTCTCTCTCTGATTTGAGACCCTAATTTCTTGCTAAGAGCAATTATGTATAATATATGTAATTGATTCTTGCAACAAATTGTGATTAAAATTGCAAAAGTTCACCGTTTTAAAAGTCTACCTTCAACAGATTTTCTCTTAATGCAATTTATTTGTCAATGATCACACTTAAAATCATTTAATTTCAATTTTTTTTTTTTTATTCTTTTGCATAATTTTGCATTGTTGTGTTAATAACAAATAGAGATGCACTTGAGTCATTTGGCACAAGGTACATTTTCACTTTAACATGTGAATTTTTAAAAGTTACAGCAAAGTGTACAGAACGTTTCTTCTAGGAGATCTAGAGAGATGTTGTAAGGAGGATACAATGTATCAAATCCTTTCCTTCAAATCCTCTGAAAAAAATCTCTAAAAATAAAATGATTTCTTGTTTAAAGCTGTAAAAAAACTTTGAAATATAACCACACACTTGGAATAAAGAATTTTAAACATACTACATTTAGTCTTTCAGGCCTGCAATTATTATATCAAAAAGAAAAGTTGTCACATTAAGTCATTGCTGACTTGAAAGACTAATGTGTATTCAAAACTCATTTTTCAATATATGGCAGTATTTTGTTAAAAAAAACTGTTGTAGAAGCTGATTTATAAAAACACAATTTTATTTGAGAGGATATCATCAATTTTTTAGATTCTCTCTTAGAGTTTTCAAACTGAAATTCAAAAAGAAATTATCATTAAATTTTCCTCAGACATCATCTGTTTTTCAAAACCTCAACAAAGCCTTCCCCAAGACACAAGTATCATTCATCCAATAAAATTTTAAAATGTACTATGTCACGTGAAATTTTTAAGTAAGCAGTCATTACAGAAATCATTAAGAGTACAGGTTAATGTATTAAAATCTGAATGCAGTGTATCGTTAATGAATTGGTACCAAATTGTTGAACGCTAGTCACTTTCAGTTCGATTTTTCCTATATCTTATTCTCTTACATATCAGAAAAAAAATATGGTTGTGAGTTTCTTTCTTCATTTTGTTTCTTCTAGACCAGGCCTATTGAACTCAGTGACTTGTGAAGTGACCCTGAGCCGGCTCACTTCTCATAAGCCCAGAAATATGTCTTGAGATTTGCTTTCTGTCAGGGAGGGGATGGATGTCACTCAACAGCAGGGGAAATGACTTTCGGACGGGGCTACAGGGCGGTTGAATATACAGCCATTGGCTTTGGAATGCATGGCACAGGAGCTATGTGAATAATGTTTCTTTTTCTGACCTTTGAATGGGACAATGTGTGCAAATGAGCTAGTTGTTGCAACTAAAATTAGAAAGCCATGTAATAGGTTTATTGATTTTAAGACCTGGATAGTGTAAAGGACTTCTTAAAAGTCCTTTTGCAGTGGACGTAAAATGTATTTAACACTGCAGTATTCTGTTGAATATTTTGAAAATTGGCACATACTTCACAAAGACTTGATTAGTGCTTCCAAAAAATTTCAAAAACTTTTGTTTACAGAAAATATATTTTTTGAATTTATACATTAAAAAAATTTTATCAAGGGTTTTTATTATTTTTAAAGTATGAAGCACAAGTAATACATTAACAAATACAAACTCTGTTTTTTATGATGGAGTGGGATAGGAACTAATTGTAAATTTTGTTTGGAATGAAAATCTTGTTCCAATATTTTACTTTATTTCACTTTCTTATTGTCTCATCCAGCTAGACTTTTTACTTATGATAAACAACTATTGCAATATGAAATGTGTATTTTTTTTATGTACAAGCAAATTGATAGTTTCAAAATTCATATAATTTAATATATGGTACTTTGAAACACCAGTGCATTTGTCAAGCTCAATTCCCTCTCACCGGGAACTTGTCAAAGGGTTCTAAATACACAAGCCATGCGCCAAACCATTCTGGTCACTCGGTTATTTTCTCTTTTCCGGCCCCACCCCAAGCACCCCTGTCTCCCCACAATGTCTTCACTCTGAGCTTGGAGATCGAGGTGTAAATCACTGCAAATGGCCGCACTTTCCTAGGGTTGGTTAGTTGGGCAGGTCTGTTCTAGACTATTCATAAAGCAGCAGGCGTTTTATCCTGAATTAAATTTGTATTTTTCTATTTACATTATTTTATTTTAAGATGCATTGTTTTTGTTTTTCAGCTCTAATGCTCAATTAAATGAACAATTCATAGAAAGTATACGTGCCGGAATAGGTAATCTGAAAGCCAATGAGATGTGCCAGGCAACAAACCCTGACCCTCCAAAAAATATGTCAGGAACATGTGATAAGTCAACAAAAGTGGATAAGGACAACACTTCAAGCAGAAATGATTCCAACCATCAAGGGGCCCTGGCACCAGTGGTTCCAAATTTATTTGCTGTTTTTTTAGCCCGCACCTCTTTGGTCTTAACGCAACCATTGCATGAACTCTTTAAGCCTTTAAACCGATATGTTTTGGCCAAACCAGCATTGGATCTGAAAACTGTGCCGGACCTTCTTGAGCTTCTAAGACCTGATAGTGTTGATTTCAGGTAAGTTTCAAATCAATGTTTTTATACTTTAAATTTATCAGTTCTCTGAAGAAGATTCTCCTAAGAGAGACTTCAGAATTATATTGTTCCAATTAAAATTCCAACTCTAGTTATTGATCTATGTGTTGAATGTGTGCATGAAAATAAGGCACAGTTTTAACTTTTACCCCTCTCTGAAGAAAATGTAAGAAGTTCAGCATTAGGTATTTTGCTTTATGTTACACTCTTCTTCTACTGATTTTGTTTTTCAAATTTAAATTGTGAGCCATAAATTACAATGTAAGTCATTGTGTTCCTCATTACCTACATATAAAAGCTACGGATTTGTGTGAGAATTAATACATTTTTACTGGTATAATAACTATTAAGAAAATAAAAATTCTTGCAAAGAATTTAACTTAGAAATTTAGAATGTAACAGAAAATTACACAAGGATTTCGTGACTTTCTGTATTCATCTCTTTCCAGAGCTTATCAGTTGTGGCTGATAGAAACTCTTCAGTTTGGAATGCGAACTGAAGATGATGTGGTTAATGCAAAACGTCGGCATCTATTCAAGATGTTATTTGCTTTATATTCCAGTTCATTATCAGATGTCCGGACAAGGGTATGATTTATTTTAGATTTTGAATATTGTTTAAGAGTTTGTGACAATATTTTTATGAGAAGTTTGACAAATAATTGTACATGCATAGTAAAACATTGTATTTCAAAGCCATTATCAAGAAATGGAATCCTGTATATTTGTTTGTTGTTGTTTTTTTGTCAGACATCTAATTTCATTGTTTCTTCGAGTTGTGATAATGATGTACGTATACTAAAATTCTTCACAATATATTTAAATTCTGAGGGGAAATTCACAATTTTAACACAAATCTGTTTTCAACCTAAGTAAAGAATAGTCATCCATATTTTATAAGAAAATAGGTTATTTTCATTCCTGTCATTGTGGTCTTTATCAATATCAAATTAACTGACAAATAGGAATTCACAGAAGTATACTATTTAGATACTCAAAGTTTCACTGTTTCAATTCAACCTTGCATTTCCTGGCATATGGAACACTAGTTTAAAATGGCAATTGGCAACAAGATTTTATTGAGAATAAACCCGAAGAAAAGTTCTCAACTTTGAAAGCAACTAGCTTCTGTTTCAGACCAACGAAATTTTAATTTTTGGAATAATATTGTCGTCAGTGCTCACTGCAAGCTTTTGCCTACAACTGTTTATTGCTCAAGAGAGGCGGAAGCAAGGTCAACAGTTAAGAAAAGATGCGCAGTTATTACAAATCGATCAAACACTTCATTCAATGACATAAGTGTAATTTTTGTTTAAACTTTCAAATATTAAAAAATTAAAGATATATTTTATTTTGTTTTGATCTCCCATGCTTACGAGTTTTTCAAGAGATGAGGTATTTGTGAAATGCAAGTTTCAACATCGCTGTTACAAAAAACTTGGGAAAATAGTGTTGATGGAATACTTTCTCCATCTATATGGTTTCCTCAGAAATGCTTCATTGAAATGATTAACTTTCTTTTGATTCTTTCAATTTTATATTGTTTAACACTTGACTAATGAGATAATCTAATTAGCTGTTACAAGACAATGAAGTTTTGTAGAGTATATTACTATCTTCTGTTGTGCACCAACATATGTTTTTTATTGCGTTATATATATATATATAATATATTTATGATTATATACTATATATATATATATAATAATATAATATCTGTTATATATATTAGATTGTGGCGTGGCGTGTGTTGGCGTGGGGCGGGCGTGCGCGTGCGCGCTGCTGCATATTAAAAACAACAGCAAAAGCACATGAAAAATTATTTGACCACAGTTAGTATTTAGTTTTGTTCATTCACAAGGTTGTTTTGTTTTTGTTTTTACAGATACTTGTTCTTCTTCTCGTGGAAGCAACTTTGTGTGTTAGTAATGGATCAACCGTACTGCTAAAGAGTGGAATTCTGCCTTGGCTGCATGGTATTATCAACAGTCTACAAAAAGAGGAGGATGGAGATGTTATAATTGCTTTCATTCGAGTAATGGTGGCTTTGAAAAATCATGCTCTATCTTTTGGAAGTATGGTAGTTCCATTTCTGCTGAAACTTCCTCCAATAGTGAAATCTTCAGATATCCATTGCATATTGCAAGCTGGAATTACTTTAATTAAGTGGCTATCTAAAGACCATTTAGTAGTATTGTTGTGTTTGTGTGAGAGAATGTTGGACCATAAAATCATTGATGAATGTTGTGCACAATTAGGACTCCCAGAGGGCACTACAATAAAAAATGAAGAATTATTAGATCATAGTGATACTAGTGGAAGAGATTTAGTCATTAGTGTTGAAGAACGGAAAGCACTAGGTGACACATTGAAAAAAGTTGTACATCAATGGTTAACATATAAATATGACGTGAAAGCATAGGCTTCCATTGCCAGATTCAGTAGATTTATTGACTCTGGGAGATGCCGCATCCTATGGTCAGTTGCCTACATTAGCAGCTTTGCCCAGGATGCAGCATCTCTTGACAGCCATTATGCATACACATACACACGATATACTGGGTCTTTATTCTAACTTGCAACCCATAACTAGGAGCATCTGTTCTTATTTTGGCAAATTGGCAGCCATGTGCCTTTTTCCTTCTTTCAAAACAACCATGGCCAATATTGAAGAAAGCAGTGGAGCAGGTGAGCATCAGGTCATACGGTGAAGCAACTTATTTTTTGTTTTTCCCATTCAAGAGTTCATACAGGCAGGTACATGGCTCACACGCCAGAATCTTTTCACACTCCATAGGATGAGTGCGACAGATATGAGCAGGCAAACAAAACATCTCTTAAGAATCTTCTGTCCAGACTGCTTATGAAATAAAACTAATACTGAAGATCTGGAGGGAAGTTATGACTGATTTATCAATTTATTAACAGCAGTGTAACAATAATTATTATTTAATGGAAACCAACTCAGAGAGAAATCAGAAAGATATCTTGTGAAACATTACCACCAAGCTCTTCATTTTATACAACAAGATTATTATTATTATTATTATTATTATTATTATTATTATTGAACCTACAAATTAAACAGATAAGGAAATCTTAATAAAATATAAATGAATAGTAAATTAATAATTATTGGAAAAAAAAATCAAGAATAATAAAATATTATTTACTTAATATCACAGTAAATTGATCATAGAGTAAATGCTCAGTGACTATCATTTGCCAAGAGAGATATGTAAAGTGTAAACATATCTCCATGTAGTGCCTGCAACACGTTGAAGAGTAATAAGGACAGAATAAGTACTTTCTCTTCCCTCCAACTAAAATTAACTGTGTTCTCTCATCCCAAAATCTGAGGTCATGCAACTAATAGTCACTAAAAGAGAAGAGATGCCAAAGGTATTTCAAGCATTTCCAAATTGCCAAAACAAGTAGTTGCTACCACACATTGGTTACAATTTAAAATAAATACTTGGTATCAAATTCGCTCTATTATTATGAAAGAATATCATAAATTTCAATTCTTTGACACCACAAAATGTCATCTCCCTTTTTGAAAGGGTTGTATAAACAGTCAAACAAATTATTGAACTAATAAACTTTCAATACTCCAGGCTAAATGTAATTTTTATTTTGATATTGAATATTGTATAAAAAATACAATGCTTTTTGTATATAAATACAATACTTTTTGTAAATAATTTGACTTGAATTATTTAATAACGTTACTTATTGTACTTTGTCTCGTATGAACTAGTTAAGAAGAAATTTTTGACAGAACACACCTGCAGAAGAATTTGGATATAATTTTGTTGAAAATTTTTTTTAGCATTCCTCAACTTACAAATCGAGATGAAAGAAAGGTTATTGTCATTGGAGAAGTTCAGGAAATTTGGCCATGTTTTTGTCAAAAGTCCTTTAATTGGAGGATAAACTTGTTGAAGCAGAGAGAACTGTGTGGAGGTTTTATTTTCAGTCAAGCATAATTTCAGGTATGCAGAATGTATAAATAGCAGACTGTAAGGAAATTTTTAATTTCATATGCATTTCAATTCATGGTTCCCCTCCTCCCATCAAAAGTAGTGAATAAACCCAGCGGATCACCTTCCATCAAGGACAAGGAATTTGAATATTATGAAATAAACTGTTGATTGAAAATAGACAAACTCTGATTTTTTACTTTGAAATAAGTACAAACTGATAAAAAATGAGACAGAAACAAATGACTAAATCAATGACATTACTTAGGAACTTAAATGTGATTAGAACACTAAAGGATTAGTTTCTTCTTGTATCCTTGCACTAATAACTTCTCTCTTCTTTCTTGAGATTGACCAATAAATCACAAATTGAATATTATTTGGTATACAAGTTGGCAATATAATTGACTAATACCATTATATCTGTTAAACAACGTACTTATAAATAAATTCAAAGTCACAATAGATAAATGTGGCAATTGCACAGTTGTAATAGTTCATAAGCATAATTGCAACAGTTTGATGTGCATAGTTTAACAGACTGATACACACAGTTTGGAAACAGTACAAATACTTATAATTGGAAATTCATTGTAGGAAAAAGTGTGTCTGATTAAGGGAGACATCATAACCTTTTGTAATAAATAATATTTGTTACTAAACAATAACAAAGAATATGCACATGCAAAAGTCTAATTGCCAAAAATAATACAATGAGAATACAATAACTTAATGAAATTAATAAAATTAAAGCAGGTAAATATTTTTCCAAATACCACCAATAATCAATAATTTCCAAAAAGAATAGAGACAAAATTGTACAACAGGCGATATGTATTAAAATACATTTCTTCTAATTTGTGACTAGACCACAGATCTTTAGGGACACCCCCTCCTACCCTAACACCCTCCTTCATGTACATTTAAAAATGTCTTTCCTCATCAGCTTTGTTGTTGATATAAATAGTTACTATGACTCTTGCTGTAACCCTCATATACTCAGTTTCAACATAAATAAAAGACTGTGTTATTTAACATAAGATGATTATAATCGAATCAAAGTTAAATGTTGAGGCAGTAAAGGAAAATATTTGGATCCATATTGGCATCTGCCTTGAACAAGGTAATGCATCTAGTCTCTCATTTTCTAGATTATCAAGAACATTATTATGTGTACAGAGCAAGTATGAAAGTGATCTTGTTACCAATGGTCATTTGATGTAAAACTCCCAAAAAGAAATGCTCACTTCAGTATGAAATAATTCTTGCCTGTCAGCTAGGTAAAGTACTTCATTCCACTTCTTCCTGGACGTAAAAAAAGTGAATTATAGAAGACCATGTCTCCATTTCAAAGATAAGGAGAGAGCTACATGCCAGAGTGTGTGCTGCATGTAAGGACTTTGAACTGGGCGAACTGTGAAACGGCCATTAGAAGAGTTGCTATGAGTGCAGAGAGATACACACTGGAATGTGTTGTGAAGTGGATTATAGGTGGTGTCTGATGAAAGACTAGGACCAACACAAGTTCAGTTATATATGAAGATGATGAGTGGGATAGTGACAAAAATATTATTATGATTTTAAGGAACAAGAAAATGATAGTTCAGGAGCAAGTTTAACATTCTCAACAACAGGGCAATCTTCTAGTCAATGAGACAATTAGCAATTTTATTTTGACTAAGTAGTAAGAATTTGTTAAAAATCTTTAAAATTCTCAGGAAGCCTCTTCTAATTTGAGTTGTCTTATATTCGGGTAAATATATATGTGCAAGTAGTTTAAGATATCTTTAATTCATTGAGTGCCAACAGAAATAGTAAGTTATAAATAAAACTTGGGGTAACGATCAAAAAGAACAAACAAACCAATTAAAATCACACTCTTCACTAGACACGACACTCATTATATTTAAAAAGGCAAAGGAGTTTCCTTTACAATTTAGTCAAAAGTGATATTATGTTAAGAGAAAAGAATTGACTGAAAATTGAAAATAAATGAAGAATCATAAAATTTGAAAGGATTCTAGGGAAGAGAGTATTACATTAGTTCTCTTTTCAATTATACAAAAAAAAATGTCAAAAGTTCTCACGTACCAATATTTCTCAAATTGCACCTTTCTTCACTTGCCTTACATCCACGTCTTTCATTACTTTTTCACTCTTAAAAACTTGTTTATTCAACATTTCAGGTTATTATCATTGTTGTAGCATAATAATATGAACAACTGGGTACAGTAATTTCATGATACAAAAGGATTGTAAGCAGAAAGTGACTAAGACGAACCCTACTTTATACTGAACTAGTACCTACAGTCACTTCACAGGGGTCAGTAAAATTAATAAAAATTAACCTACCGTTCAGAAGTAGCAGATATTGAATCCAAGTTTTTCTTGTTTCCCTGTATTTAAGTAATTATATTTCTGGAGATCAGTGTGTCTGTCTGTC